TAATGATAAGTTTACCAAAGAATCTTACCGCTCACTTACAGTTTCTTAATTCTTCTTTGTTTTTTTACAATCCATCATTGGCTGCCTGCTAAAACGGTTCATAGACTTACCAAGGAGCAAAGGATTTGGGTGCTGAAGGCGTGGTGGAGAATACACATAAGAAGATATTACTCACATTATGACACAGAACAGTCCTTCTTAGGCTAAATACATTCTCAACATACAGTATGGCTAATCTTTCTTAGGCGAACAACCGAATAGAATACATGGTTCCATATGCCATTAGGGACCCTATATAACCAGAAAAGTCATGTAAGGACCCACAATTAAATAATTTATTCTGTAAATTATTTGGAGCAAAACTGTCTAAAAAAGTGATGGGAGTCTAATTCCAGAGTTAAAATGTCTACACACAAACAAAGTGATAGATGAAAACTCCCCACTGGAACAATTCCCATTGAGAATTAGTGATCATTGTGAATTCATTATAATTTAATCTTTTGTATTGAAGAACTGTTATCACTCTACGATTTCTATGAATATAAAAAAAACAGAAAAACAATTTCACTAAACATAATTTCGATATTTGTGGGGTTTTTTTTGGGCTCAGAGAGTTTGATCATATGTTACATGAGTCTCTGATTGTTTATTAAGTGGGGTCTCTGATTATCTGTTAAGTAACTCTCTGTTATCTGTTAAGTTATTTAGATTGTTTGTTTTTAAATTTCACGCAAGGCTACACGAGGGCTATCTGCGCTAGCCCGTTTCACTTTCCAAGGGCTTCTGTAAAACGTTATGTGTCTCTTTTGAGCACATTTTTCGTGAGTTAAATAAAATCTAATAACATTTTATGGAGAACTTGTACATATAGTAGAAACCTCCGTAAATTATCAGATACAAATCAATTATTAAAAATCGTTAAGAACAGAACTCTACTGAAATAGATCTGAAAAAGCTTCCCATTCTTGCATGATGATGTGATGAATAGATTACCCTAAAGTCCCTAGACATTTATGAGAAGAAGCGTTGAAAAGGAACTTAAACTTCATCATTTGTGTATTGATTAAGTTTTGAAAAGATTTCGAAATGAAGGTTTATTTGACCGCCATTTTGCTCAGGCTTAATCTCTGAAAAGCCACTTCTAGATGGTGCTCTGCGTGTGTACAGAAAATATATGAATGGAAAAATACAGAATTCATTTAATTATTTTAATAAAAGATGGAATAGTTCTTTTTAAAGCACAAACACTCGAAGTAGAGGAAAGGTTCTTCAAAAATAATTACATTACAGTTTCATTTTAGTTCCGAATATTGCCACAAAATGTATAATACAGATTAGCAACAAAATAATATAAATATCTAATATAAATTTCAAGATTACCGTTTAAGATTGTTTAGGTCACGTGATAAATGCTTTTCAGTACTTGTAAATTAAATTTGGTTCATAACAAAATGTCTGTGTTTTCAGAAAGGAATTGTAAACATTTAGACTTATTAGTTCAGCAGGAAAATGAGTCGACATAATGAGAAACATGTATTTCAACAGGAAATTTTACACGTTTCGTTAGTAATTGCACCACCAGGTAGACATTTTTAGAATATTAATTGTTAGTCTTAGAAAAGAACCACCGATAGGATAGGATTAAACTGAAATTCAAATATAGCTGGTCATGACAATTTCATTCAAGGTATGCTCGCCGTAGAAAATAATCGACCTTTGACACGATAATCTGCCCAAAATCTGCTTATTTGTATAACGTGTTTTTCTGAGACAATGAAAATGTGTAAACGTTCTTTCCCAACCAGTAAACAGTAGAGAATATTTCACTGAATGGAATCTAATGAAATATCGACCCCTTCATCTCTTCGACCACAGAGTTTCGTTAATTGCATGATGGAGAAGGTAGAATGTTGGGAGCAGACCATGTGGTCCTTGGCTTGGCTCCAGCCTGGCTCCTGGATCACTTCTCCTCTGTTATCAACTACGGTTATTATCACCTGAAAAGTTATAGTAGAGACGGCATGGCAAAGTTTTGGTTTTGATGTCGACGTAATGTCCAGCTGCTGCTGCAAAACGATAGGAAAATATTCCTCTGTCCATCTGTTACGGTATATAGACAAAAGCAAGTGAATTACATGTTTCGGGACACCATTTTGATTTCGTGTAAATTACACTTTTTTTAATACTGTTATATGAGTAAATTCTAAGTAAATCTTAGATATCTAAAAAGTTAAACAAAAACAAATATAAAGATATGAACACTATTATAGAGATGTTTTATGTTGTGCTCTATTCGTATTGATTTTGCAGGCCTCAAATCATGCACAGTCTGTTAATGTTCATCTTAGAGAAGTAACATTCAACTTCATGTTAAAAACGTTAACATTCAACTTCCTGTTAAAAATTTTAACATTCAACTTCCTGTTAAAAATGTTAACATTCAACTTCATGTTAAAAACATTTAACATTCAACTTCATGTTAAAAACGGTAACATTCAACTTCATCTTAAAAACATTAACATTCAACTTCACGTTAAAAATTTTAACATTCAACTTCATGTTAAAAACGTTAACATTCAACTACATGTTAAAAATGTTAACATTCAACTTCACGTTAAAAATGTTAACATTCAACTTCATGTTAAAAATGTTAACATTCAACTTCATGTTAAAAACGGTAACATTCAACTTCATGTTAAAAACGTTAACATTCAACTTCACGTTAAAAATTTTAACATTCAACTTCTTGTTAAAAACGGTAATATTCAACTTCATGTTTAGACTTGTTCGTAGAATGTCGTATGTACTACCTATTAACACTGTGTCAGGTTTAATAATTGGTTTGTTTTGTTTTGAATTTCGCGCAAAGTTACACGAGGGCTATCTGAGCTAGCCGTTCCTAATTTGGCAGTGAAAGGCTAAAGGAAAGGCAGCTAGTCATCAACACCCACCGCCAACTCTTGGGCTACTCTTTTACCAACGAATAGTGGGATTGACCGTCACGGCTGAAAAGGCGAGCATGTTTGGTGGGACGGGGATTCGAACCCACGACCCTCAGATTGAGGTTTAATAAACTCGATACTTTAAAAATGATGTAATTTTTTTCTGATTTATTAAATAAACAAATGTTTTGAGTTGATTGAATTCGTTTGAGTTTATTTAACATTGATAAAAAAAATCCCTTCCGAATATCAAATGAACTGTTACTTTTAGATCGAGTGAAGTTATTAATTTATTTCAAAAGTAAGATGTCTTTGTTCTATTTAATTTTCAAACATACCTTAGATAATAGAAACTTGGCTTAAACTGACCGTTTCTAGAGTGAGAAAATATTACAGAGTCCGAAACATCGGCCCAAGTCTAGTAAAAAAATAAAAATTCGTGGCAGGAAGTTAGGTTTAATATCTTTCAAGCCTGTAATATTGGATCCTGAAAAATAACCCGGGGTTGTCAGAAACATTTGTTTCTCTTTACCCCGCGCGAGAAAGATGTTAATACCACTAGTATTTGGAGACTGGGCTAATGTCTAGGGTAAAAGAAGGCACGAAAAATACCTACCCAAGCCGAGAAGAAGCCGTTCAGAGGTCGGAGTCTATAAACAGGCTGGGGCAGTTCACTTAAACCAAAAATCTACTGTGTCTACAATAACCTTAAACCAAGTATCTACTATGTCTACACTCCACCTAAGCCAAATATGTACTGTGTCTACACTCCACTTAAGCGAAATATCTACTGTGTCTACACTCCACTTAAGCTAAATATGTACTGTGTCTTCACTCCACTTAAGCGAAATATCTACTGTGTCTACAATAACCTTAAACCAAGTATCTACTATGTCTACACTCCACCTAAGCTAAATATGTACTGTGTCTACACTACACTTAAGCGAAATATCTACTGTGTCTACACTCCACCTAAGCCAAATATGTACTGTGTCTACACTCCACTTAAG